GGGCAGGCAGGGAACCAGAAGGTGGGGGGCAATTAGGGAAATTTAGCAATTAAAGCGACCGTTTCTGCAAGAATGGCTGGCCCCGAAGGCCCAAAAACCGTTTTGCAATTAGGGGGACTTCTTTTGCCATTAGGGGTGATTTGCAACTAGGGGGGCATCTTTTGCCATTAGGGCACTTCTTTTGCCATTAGGGATGACCCCATAGGAACAGAAATTGCTTGACAGAGCTTCAAAGCGGAATTGACCAGGGCGCCAGTGCACTGGCGAACCCGAAGCCCTGAGCCCTAAACCCTAAAGCCCTAAGCCCTAACCCTTGAGCCCTAAAGCCCAAGCACTAAACCCTGAGCCCCAAGCCCTAAGCTCCTAAACCCTAAAGCTCTTGTCCTTCCGGTTTCATTAGTGCTGCTGTAATCTTAATGTTGTGGGAAGGGATTATGAGACAAGTAAGTTCTGACAGACTGCTAAAGCAGGTGACGGAAGCAATTCTCAAACAGCCCAAAACATCCACAAATGCAAGCGTCTTTCCCAGTGCAAGACCTGAGTTTCAACCATGGCCTCCACGTGCACAAGAACCGAAAAGCATTATGTGGAAATCTCTTACAAGGATTTGGAATCTGCAGAGCATAACATGGGTCTAATGAATCCTGAAATCTAAGCCCGCGCAGTGTCCTTTGCAACAATCGGCGATTAGCCAAGTTGCCTCTGTTCTGTTGCGCGTGTAAATCCTTGCGAGCTGGAGCTCCTCTAGGCTGCTCCTGGCAAAACCAGCATCTCGCGACCAATATCACCAGGACTCCCCTGAGTGTTACCGCTGTCACTAAGGTTCGACTGTAGTAGCAGCAGTGGCAGAATAATTGCACTAGGGGCTGCAGCTGTAGTAGACTAGAAGATCGAGATGTAGCCGCCGTAATCCAGCAAACAGAAAGTCGACTTCCGCATCCTATCATCGCGACTGATCAACTGCTGGCAGTGCAGCGATTGGACAGAGGGGCAGGACTTCGAAAACGTACGCAGATTGCTGCGTGTCTGTTGGTCTTCAAGGATCATGACACATCGCCCATGGGGATTTCTCGCGTGCAGCTCCAGCCTAATTCTAAGCGGTTTCTCAAGCACTTGGTCACCCCAGAGCAACAGCCTCCAGAATTCAGCTTCAATTCGATCCAGGAGACCGCTTTGCAGCCACGGTGCTTCCGCAGGTCCAGCAGTCCGTTGCCGCCGGGCAGTGCCACCCGATCCTAGACAAGTTAGGGATCTAGGGCCAGTCTAGGGGGCTAGCGACATCATCCTCGTGAGTTCTACAACGAGGATCAAGCCAGGTCTAGGTCAGCTTTAGATTGCATCTGAAGCTCAGAACAGGCTCCACAGGCTTGTGGAGACATCTTTCACTATGCAAGTGCTGCAAAAGTACCGCTGTTCAGTTCAGACAATGCGCAGCCATTCACAGACACCGACGCACACAGAACAAAACGCGCAGACACACACACACAGGCAAAAGAAACACACACCTTTTAAACAATAGTTGACAATAATCATGTAAGGTCCTCCATTTCCCGATTCCCTTTCATTACCGCATCGCCAGTCAGCTGTGGGTAATGTTCTGTGTCAAGTTCTGCTTGCTGCATAGGTGACGTGAGTGCAGATACTCAGCTTAGGCTTAGATGCATTCGAGTTGGTTGGTACGAAGCTAACCTAATCAGGCCAGAAGGCCGAGCCTATTGTCACATGTTGGTTGGCCAGGAAATGAAACATTCGGCAAGTACGCGACATGCAGTAGTTACCGTAGTTGCTTGGAACATGCGTGGAAGAGAGCGAGCTGTCTTGTGTGAGGGGAATACTGTGACATGCCTGAAGTAGCTGCATCCAATCATATGGCATCGCTTTGTTTGCTTGTGTGCGTTGGTTAGTGCATGTGTTTGCGTGAGTCTACGTGCTTGTGTGCGTGTGTCTGCAATTTTTCTGGAGCCAAGGCGACGCAAGGCAGCGATGAGTTTATGATATTCCCTTCGCCCAAATGCCTGTCTGCACTGCCTGGAGTACAGAGAAGCCTGCACAAAAGCCCTTTGCTCGAAATGTCAACACCTTGCTCCAAGTGATTAACACGTCATTCATTGCTGGTGATGCTGCCTAAGGCAGCGAACCATAGTTCAGCACGCAGATGACAAAAAACTGCAGTCTGGACACATTGTTTACAGACGTGGCCTGTGCGGACAGGCAGTCTGACTTGCAGATTAACTCAGAGGTAAATGCTGGGCAAAATTGCACCCGTGCTGTGACCGTCAACGGGCACAAAGAAGCGAAGCCCTAAGCTCTAAAAGCCCTAAACCTATGATTGGTCGGCCGCCCCCGAGAGAAAGGCGGGGCTCAGTCGTAGTCCTTTACATCGATCTTCTCCTGAAAAACTTTTCCTGTCTTGATGGCTGCATCCGTACAGTATCACACAGTCGTACGACTTTGCCCTGCGACTCTGGCCATAAACATCGGATAAGCATCCAGCTACTCTCGCACAGACCATCCGCAGACTCACACACACTCCTTCGGACTATTATCAAACTTGGCAAGCGCAAGTTTCAGCACAAACAAGCCGGTGATTCGAAATACGGCCTCAGATTCAAGAAGCAATCAAGCATGTGTTATTCTTGCCAGCGCGAAAAATCCTGTTAAGGGGTGTCAATATGCAGCCACAGCAACAGTAGCGACAGTGTTTTCAACAATAGGACTACTCGTAACACGACAGTCACGTGACCATGATGATAAGATAATGGCGACAGCACTACCGCCGACCAGGAGGACGATTACCAAAACCGCCACCGCCACTGCCAACACCATCACCACCGCATCCAGCCACGGACGACGAAGATTAAACTGGTGACTGGTATATGGTGAATAGCGACTGATACATGTCTCACTGGCACCTAAAGCATGCTGCTGCCAAGTACGAGTGTGCTCACACTGACAGCAGTTCTTCGTGCCATGTGTGACTTGACTGAACGGGATGACAGTCATGATCATGGCGACGACGCAGAGACACTTTCGTACTGGACGTGGCAGGGGTATTGTTCGTGCACACATCATTGCCATCACTGGCAGATCCACAGCCGGAACATCTTTTCTGGTGCAAGAGCTCGAGGCTACCCTGAAACGCGCAGACTCCCAATGTGCTGCTCGTAAGTCGTGAGCACATCTGACGACAGATCGCACTCCGTGAAGATCCGCGAAGCTGTGCGTACTCAGGCATCTTTCTGGCCATGTCTCAAGACTTAACGGCAGATGCGACAACCTTCGCGCCTACAGCACGATGTGTCTCTCGTCACACATCGAAAACGTGTAGGAACCACACATTGACATACAGGACTGCAGGTGCATTGCACAGTGCACCCTACAGATAATGCCCAGCTAGTGCCGAAGTATTGCGCGAAGTAGTCTTGAGACACTTGCTGCCAGTAAGTGTCAAAAACCATCAGAAACAGATTCAAATGAAGTAACTGAGATTAAACCTCGTAGGGGCGCGAGCCCACGGAACTGTCGGCTGGCAGGAAGGGCTGATCTTCTGATCGGTTGTCCTTGCACATCCCTCCAGCCCTCCCGTCCAGGAAAAGCCGGTCAAGAGGTCTAAAAGTGCCAGATGTAGATAAAGATTCTACAGGACGCAGATGCATCGCCAAGGGCTGGTCACTGGCCACTTAAATTTAAATATGATACGTCCTTTGCCTTCAAGGACAAAACATGGTCCACTAAATCTCGATAAAGCGGAAGCGAGTCTTAGCCCGACACGAATATCAAGAGTCCCGGCGCAGTCTTAGAGGATTTTGACATCGCGCACCTGCTGCCCTCCAGGCAACAGGCGGCAGTACTGCACCTCTGCTGGGCTGCTTAGGATCCCCAGAGCACTGCAGCAAAAAGGAGTTCGGTGGACCGGCCAAGATCGTGCTGTACAAGAGTTTATTTATGCATCCTGGTCCTTGAGACCTGCAGGGCTTCAGGGGATTCACCACAACTTCCTCATGAAGGTCTTGATGGCATCGGTCCGTCTGTCCTGATGGAACGCATCCCGCCGACGATGGGCCACCTCGGCGTGGAGCCTGTGTGGAGCATGCGAGATGTCCTCACCAAGAGCAACACACGTTCTGTGCTAACCTGTGTCACAGACTTGTTCCAGCATACGCATAGCATCTACGGAGTTCTCCATTGCAAGCACATCACGAGAGTCCAGGGAAAAGCAGACTAGCCGCATCTGGTAGATCTGTTTCTTTTGTTCCTTCGTCGCCCCTGGGTCGCAAGATTGTTCGGTGAAACGATGGATTCCACACAGTCCCAGCTGTCCCGACGAGTACGCAACCATCTATCTACCATGTTCTAGCCATCGGGAGAAGCAAGACCAACTTCGACCAGTTGCCCCGTCATGTCATTGAAGTCTAGTTCCTAGCTGAACCATTGATGCAGAACCTGGCGGGTCCTCGAGTAGCTGGTCCATGTGAAGAAGGTGTTGGTCATGGAGCAGGCGGTTTGGCGGAAAGCTTATTCCAGCGGCCAAAGACTCCTCGTCGGGACATGTCGTAGACAAGAAAGAGTCGCGAGATGCCAGTCGCTTCGGCTCGTTGTGGATCCTGTGGATGCCATGCTCCTGAGAGATGAACGCTGCGGCCTCCGGCTTGCATGGGGTGCGCATGTTGCTCAGTGCTGCAAAGGGTGGCCCTGCACTTGCCATGACCAGGTCTGCTCAAGCGGGATGATGGTCGCCGAGCTCTACTAAACATAAACGCTTCAGCCTAAAGAGGCCAGCGACGAACATGCGCAAGTTTACATGCTGGAGTCTCCCTCAACCTAATGTAGACGACAATGTTCTCTCAGCTTCCACGAGCAAGTCTATCATGAGCACGTGCGGTGAGTGAACAGGCCGGATTCGATAAAGAGGGATTCAGGCCGCTTGTTTGTGGTTTGTGGTACTCACGAACAGTGACAGAGCAACGGAACTGTGCCGGTCGCCCAAAGTGCGGTTTGAACCCGACTCTCGGTGCGCTGCGTAATTTGGATCTTCGGGAGTGAACTGGGGAATGGCGAAGTGCACCTCCTCGTAGCCCCTGCCATCGGAGCCCAGGGAAGGCCATCCAGCAATTCGCTCCCACCGCTACAAGATGATGGCGTCGGCAACGGAAACGAATACACTCCGGACGATGCCGAAACCCTTTTGACAGGCCAGCATCGCTGTCCACAGCCATCTTTCAGCAGCCTAGGCAGAGAGCAGGGAGCGTGCAACCGTGGTTTTCATTCTTGATCAAGCTAAGGAGCGCTTGCAAAAAGAGGCCAGCGATCCTGGAGGGATCTCCACCTCAGGCAGGGAGTTTACACGAACATAGCATGGGGTTCCGTAGTCTCTACATTTTTAAAGCCTAAGCCGTAATTCGCCAGCAGGGCAGCGTGGAAACAACTTGGTGCGGCACCTTTTCATCCGGAATTTGCGACTGTTTCTGAGGCGTACCAGGTGTGCGAAGAAAACTGATCCTAGTATCCTAGTAGTGCTAGTATTGAGAAAAACTTCCCTGCTTGTATCTGCTACTGTAGGGCGACTTCTCGCCTTCCACTGCCGACCGTAGTTGGCAGGGGGGTAGGCTGACCCTGCCTGCTAACGCTGACGTACACTTACATAAGAAGCCTAGACTGGCCCAAACTGCATGTCGAAAGTGAACTGGGGCAGCCCGGTGCACCTCGGTATCCATAAGAACAGTTTTAAAGTTAGACTGTGGCGAACACCAAGATTGACTGCAGGGAGGTTATCGCACCCCAGGCATCTTACTAGTAGTATTGAGCGAGCCCCCAAGCCCGTTTGAGGAAAAGCATGGAGACTCCACTTGGCTAATGAAGCATCACAAGCAGAATCTGCGTTGCACATCGCTCGACGAGGGCCGCAGTTCCGCATCTAGGTTGCAGTCCACATATGTCCACATCTAGGCACTCCTTTTTCCGTGTACAAGCCGGCCAAGCAGGTTTTCTGGGTGCTTGGCCAAACGCTCCACAGCCCCAGGCACCCAGAATCAGTGTGTTGATGCCTTTCACTTGATGTCATGACTTTTGGAGATGTGCAGCTGCATAGCATTCCCTGATCTGGCCTGGCTCCCACAAGTGTGGTGCTCTGAAGATATTCACCATCGTCTGGTAGATCAGTTGTGCGTCATTGACCTTGGCGGATCCCTCAAGTTAACGATATTTACCCATGCTCGCACAGATGGTCATGTCACGCATGTCATGCAGACATGTACATGCCCTGTGAATTCCTCACATCACGTCATGCTAAGCCACATTGCTCTGTACTGCCTACACTCCTACACCACAGGTACACTTTTTCGCACTAAAAGGCAGGGGACCGAGAAGAGCTGAGAAGGCCGGAATTGGCAGGGCTGAGACGTACCATGTGGCGGGCGCTTCGACACTGAGATGAGATGGGAGCCGCATGAAGTCGGAAGGACCGTTATCAGATGAAGGGATGCGATACAGGAATTCAAACTGTCACGTGGACGAGCATCTGCAAATGCAGCTTCGGATGCCAGCGGTGGTAACAAGTAAGAATGTGGTCATTGCAGCTGTGGGCGGCATTGGCTTCTATCAGAGCTCAGAAGAAACGATCATGCGCTCATCCGCCGCACAAGTCGTGTCTCGACACTACTGCTGCTGCCGCTACAGCTATGGCTACGGGAGCCTTGTTGCAACTGAAATGTTCTGAGCGAGCATGCCATACTTGAGGTGCCTTTTGTGTTGCAGGGGGGGGCGTTGTCATGGCTGCGTTCCGAGCAGCATCACTGCCGAATTTGAGGTTGGGAGCTGCTGCAGCAACTAGTGACCTCAGCAGTTGTATGTTGCAGCAGCTGCCGCGACGCTCAGTCCGCCATCCAGTTTCAGAGAAAGCAAGCCTCCTAAGACTATGGCACAGTGGCTTGCTCATCCCGGTGCAAGATCCGATACCTCAAGAAGTCAAGAAGGGTGTACAGCGACCTGCCAGCTTCCTTTGCTACCTCGAGCCGTCTGGCTTGGTCGAGACTGAGGAGCAAACCCTTCCTCCTGACTCGCTCTTCCGACAACGAGATTCGTTGTGTAGAGCACGTCTCGAAATTTCCTGGCTCCATGTCACACTTCTGCGCTGCACCTCAAAGGTCTCTCAGAGTCTTGCCGGCTTCACTCTGGCTGGCCCGTGGACGGGCATGTCGGAGGACCGAAGGGGTAGAGCCCTCGGCAGAAGGCATGGAAGTCTGAGCTGCTTGTTTTCAGCATCACTGTCTGTCTCTGTCTACATCTAACTTCTCATTGCTGGCAACAGTTGCACGCGTAGTCACATCGACCTTCGCTCTAGCACAAGTACAAGTAGTGATAGTAAGAACCAATACTCATGCACGCCTCATATTCTGACTACTATTGGTGGGAAGCAGGCTTAACAGCACTGTTTCAGTTTAGTGTGGCCTATTGTGGTATGATTGCACTTGCACTTGCCGCTCGCCTGAGTCGGTGTCAGATGCGAGCAGGTATGATTACAGACAATGATAACATGTATATCAGTAGCACAGCTGCTGTCTGCGATAGTCGCATGTTAGCAACGCAAATGTCGACGACGGTGCTCGTGTGGTTACTCCTTACTGGGACAAGTAAATGGTAGCTTTGGCCACCACTGGCTCTAGCGCGGTACGAGCACCACGAGTTTTGCTGGCACCTCGAATCCTGCTGTCCTACTGGCCTTGGAAGTACGGTGAACAACAGCAGCATTATGAGCACTCTGTCTCCGACGGGTCTCCGAGTCCCGAGGGATGTCCGAGGATTTGTAATCCGGATCATGTCATCTCAGGCTGCAGCCCTCTTTCTTCGCACCGAGCAGGGAAGAGTACAGCAGCGGTATTCGCCTGGCGATTCACCCCAAGGTTATCTAATTCCTGCGCACAAACAGTGACGACAACATACCGAAGAGGACAAACAGCACAGCCTATACCATGACAAAACAACATCCAAATACAACAGGTTCATCCACGCACGCAGCAATTGCGCACTGACAAATAAACTCAATGAAAAGATACGTCTGTCAGTACCTCGGCTGATGATGTGGGCAGTCAAAAAGTCGATAAGTAGATGGGCAGCGACGGCAGCGAGATCGATCGAGATCGCACAAAGGATCAGTGGCCACATGCTGAGAAAGCGAGTGTCAAGAGTATGCAACACAAGACTTGCAAAGAACATGTCATATCAATCGCGAACGAACTGGGATGGAAGAGGTGAGGGTCACTTACAAACCAACTCCGAGCTTGTCCCTTCCGACAGTGTTGGCACACATTCGGGCACATGGCTGCAAGCTCTGACAAACACTTGCACAGCATTCAAAATGCTGAGGTGCAACGTCTTATTAATCCCAGGTATCTAGGTCTGTTGGCATCCCTGGCCATCATCCGGTCATTGCGAGTAGCTCGGCTAGATGGGGCTCCACAGGCCTTCTCCAGGAGTCCATGCACTACTCGCAGACTACTGGATTGCAGTATCAGCCGACTCCAGCCAGAAGCATTGCAAATGCTAAGAGGCACAAACAAGCGAGCAAATTCCCCGAGGCAAGGGCCTGCAAAGATCCTCTTCCTGTGCGGAGGCCCCGTTCTTGTAGCCCCCACCTGTAGGCAGATGCAATGCACATGTCTGCGCACTTGTGCCTGCAAGTCTCTACATGCTCTCATCCAGGTTGCAAGATTTTCCTGCAGGTGCTCACAAGCCGCGGAAATGCGCGAATGCGATGCCAAATGAATGCAGCGGGCCGGAGACTTCTAGACGATTGGATGCAATGAAGACAACCAGGCTGGTGTGCGTGTCAAGTCGCGCCTGCGTCCTTGCCATTTGCGAAGTTAAGTGCACAAACCTGAGAGCTATGGGACGGCTCTGTTTCTGTGAAGCCACAGCGAGCCACCCTGGGGTTCCAACGTATAAGCATTGTTAGATTTTCCCTTCATTACCGTTACGGGAGTTCATGTACGACACCGAGGAAGAATGACGAAGGTATGGCACTGCTCCTGGAATTCGCAGGGGCGAATAAAATCTGCCTTAGGTGTAAGGTTCAACAGTAGCTTGCCGCGTGGAGTAAACGGACTCACAACAGGCCGTCAGCAAGAGGTAGCACTTGCAGCAACCGAGACCTTCACCTTCCGACCACGTTGCCTGCCCAGCGCCAGAAGTGCATCTGCGGTGTCCATCCTGGCAACCGCCCATTTGTGCTAATGGGAACCTGCATGAAGCTGTGCGGGAGAATGAGAGGAGTGGCGCTTAGCGCTTGAACGGTATTTCTTTGCCTGCGGCTGGCTGTCTTGTCCCATTGGAGAGAGCATGCTTCAAGACGATATCAGTGATGCTTGGCTTGTGCTTGCGGTCGTTCTCTCCAGTGCTGCGGGAGCTCTGATGTTATGGTCTTCGATCTGATATGCTCAGCCATGTGATCATCAGCAATCCGCCTGGAAAATGAGATCACAGGAAGCGGCGCAGATCTCGGCCTGAACCTGACAAATCGATTGATTTCTGCCTGTGCATATTTCTCTGTTGGTCAAATTTGGTCAAGTTACTGCATGTCATCAGGTTCTACGTGAATGCATGCTGCAGCGCAGCACATCATGGCTGGATAGATGAACGACTGCTTGGATTCTGGCCTTTCGCCAGCTTCATGGTAGCCTCATCAGCAATGTTCACAACTATCCTGCATGAGCAATTCAGCATCGACTTGCAGTGCAAGTCACAGCAGGTCAAAGTCTAAGCGGTACGTTTGCAGCTGCACTAGGTCTCGGACTGACGGGAATCGTCCGGGGTATTCGACCAAAGTGCTCCCGCCGCCAATAGTTGTCTTCAGCCACCTCATTTCTGCACAGCCCGTGTCCATGCCATGCATCGCCATCATTGGGCAAAAATGGAGGACCATTCTGTGAACCACACGCGAAAGAAAAACAGCAAAAGCCGTCAGCAGGCCGGAACAACCTTCGAAGATTAGGTTGATTCAGCCGTAGGATGTGAGTTCCCTGTCGATGCTTGGTTGTTGGCCGAGAGTCGACTGGTGTAGTAGCTAACGTGCTTTCGGCACATGGCTCGGAGTTTGAGGGGCAAAGCTACAGCGGAGCCTCACCCTACAGCCTCCGTACGTATGTACAACAACAGACTTCATCAGCATTTTGGGACGCTCTCTGCCATCTCTCGCAGTTCGGCAGACGACACCCACGATTGCAGAGGTTGCACCGGCAACTTTAGGACCGTGCGACTTAGCGAGTGTGCGTTTCAGGGCGAACAGTCCGAATCTTTTGCTTGCACGGAAAAGCAAGCATTCCGGAATGATTCATGAGTGTTCCTGGGGCATGCCTGGAAGCTACCGCAGGGGCTAAGGCCACTGCGCTCGACAGGAGTGCCTTCACTCTCTTGTAGTCTTTGCTGACCTCCAGGCTGCTGCAAGGAACAATCGAAGGGCAACAAAATCACTTCGTATCAAGAAAAGGAGCTGTCAAAATGCAGCACACGCAGCATTCCACCAAAAGCAATAAGAATCAGCTGGCTTCTGTGTCTCACGATGCGAATTAATCTCAGCTCTGGTCTTTGGAGGAATGCAGCTCTTGGGCGAAGGTGGCCTTCAAGACAAGTCAGGCGGGAAATGTTTTGCGATGACATGGCACTGCTCCTTTCATTCTGCTGACAGCCGCGGCAGAGCTATCATCTCACAACGCCGAAGAGCATTGCAACCAAGTCACGTGATCCCAGTGCATGGCTGCAATCTAGCAGAGTGGATGCTAACTATGCCTGCGACACGCTCTCTTGAGCTGTCGCCCATGCGGTGCAGCATGTAGCTCGAGTGCACTTCTCAATCCTGAAGTGAAATCATTCTGTGGAGTCTTGTGAACGAGCTACTGAACCAGCGACCACACCCTTAGCATCTTGTAACACATCTATATGGTCATACGGAGTTGCTGTCGTTGTGCCGGAGCAAAATGGCATGAGCATATGTGATTCTATCCATTTCCATTCCACATGCTCTCCATGCCTGGGATAGGACTTGAGACACCTGAGCAGCCTGCAGCACATCTGGCCTTTGAGAAGTAATTTGCCCAGTCCACGAAAGTCTTGCTGTCATCGTCAGCCACCGCATGGAAAACACAGCGGAGCGCCGACGCCTACATACGCCTACGATGCCATTCGTGCTCTGCAAGCATTCGCAAAGTGGACATCTTATGAAGCTTTCACACCCTGAACCCGATGCATCCTCTAGCACGTGCTCCTTCGTAAAGCACTTGGCTGCATTTCGGAAAAATACCACCATGCATCGAAAACAGGATTCCCTTCCACGGGCTTTCCTTCCGTTCGATCTTACTCGCTCTGTCCGTGCGTGCTTAAGGCTAGTGGCATATCGATGTCTTGATCTCCTGTGGACCGCGGCTCCAACCCTGGCTAGGACCCTTCTCAGAAACTAAGCCTCCCTCGGGAAGTAAGATGCCGACCAGCCAACAACCTGCAGACCTACGAACCTGAGCCTCCCTGACTGGCAGCGTTTGCGCTGTGTCACATTGGGAAGGGGTTTTTGAGCCCACCAGACGCCTGTAGTCACCATTAAAGGTTGGATCGGAGTAACGTAGGAAAACACTGTATATACCGATATAAATCTTATACTTACTTCGGACCTTGAAGCCGTCCCATGTCTTCCAAACTCTCAACCACGTTCGCATCGAAAACTGATTTTCAGCGGTCAACCAATAAATCTGAAAAGAGTTGCGCGCGAAAAGGTCTCAACTTGGCCTTGGCTTCTATAAAAGAACGCATGCTGGAAAAAGAATGTAGTTTGGTTCCTAACGTCGGAAACAGGAGAATACCGTAATTATCGCACTTTACTTTCAGCATCTTCCGCGACAGACGAGGTGCGGCAAGACGAAGAGACTGAACGGGTTTAGGGCTTGAAGATCCCAGGCTTCGCGTTTGGGGGAATCTTGGCTTAGGACTTCTAGGCTCAGAGAGGCTTGGGGCGTTAGGTTTATTTTCGGGAGTATTAGGGTTTAGCGCAGGGTTTAGGGGCACACGAAGCCTCGATTCGCAATGAACAACACCTCACTTCCCACGATCACGTTTTCAATGTGTTTTCTTCTGTTGCGGTTATCCAACACTCGACCCAAGGACCTTGGGGTGGGAAAAGTGTACGTTTACATATCAGCGACGATTAGGACTCTGCCAACCTCATGAGATGCGCACGCGAAAGCGCGACATAGCCGTTCTGGCTCAAACTGCGCATGCCAGCTTGCCAAGAGATTCCCAGGGCTCAACGGTTCCATCAGCATACACACGGTTGGAGCACCGCACCGGGCTGTCAGGCACTGTCTTGGCATTCGATTGCGTGGCATCTGGCTGCCGCCAACCAGGGGTCACAGCATCTCTCCAGGCCAGGTTTGGAATTCATGTGTGGGTGGACGAAGTGTTGGGTCCTGGGCCTGAGGCGTACAGCGTTTTGCAAGTTCCGATCCTGTGTTTAGTGACTATAGTGCTTTGCACCGAGCGAGTGGCGGAATCTGAGACAGATGCGCTGTTGTTGGGATTTGGGGGGTCAATGAACCTGTATGCGCCACTTAGGCCACCGCACTATCCGGGTCAAGTATTCCTGCGATGTGTGGGTCTCACAACAACTGGCGGGAGTAAAGGCTTCGGGTTGTCTGTCATCCATGCGCGCCGCAGTTACACGTCTTTTGAATGTCTTGCAGATGGACGAGATGTTACAAGTCCAAAGACGTTATCTCGTCTGCAATCACTGCAGAAAGCTGAGACTCGACTCTGCGGGGCAGCGGGAAAGCACACATCGGAACTAACGAAATCTGACGAGCATATTCATGTCGCGTCTACAAGCAACAGCAGCTTGATACGTGGATCTCGTGCCCGGCGCAGTGTCTGCATTAGAACTGGAAATAGAGGTGCTTCTTGCAGCCCAAACTTTCTCAGGCCTTTTTCAAAAGCACCAGCTAAGAGCTGACCTAGAGACTCACAGGATGGCTTCGACCTCGGAGACAGCGAGACCGGGGGGTCAGCGAGGCCTCATGGGGCTTCTCTGTTTTGAGGCCTCTTCATGCCTTTCATGGTCTGAGCTCTACTTTTGGCCTAGGATGTCTGAAGATGGCAGAGGGACACGGAGAGGGTCGGCCATAATGACCTGGAGTCAGACTAGGACGAAAATCTCTAAGTGGGAATATGGGCAGTGCTCGGCATCCACTGAAGGTCGCCCTCTGAAACGGACGAAAGCCAACGAAAATCGCCTGCAGCTACTCATCTTCTTGCCCACATCGACTCCGACCAATAAGCGTCGGGCCGTTGCTGTTGGGGCCGTTGCCATAGCCGGCCTTCGCTTGGGAAAGCTCGTCATCTCCGGTGGCCTGTTCAGGCTACTGAAGTCTTGAGTCCAACTGCAGGATACCCACGATTGCGTTGTAGCAATGCGAGCCAGAAGAGTCTCTCACTCATTGCAACATAGCGCATGCAACGAAAACGTGGCCCTTTCGACATCGGCTGCCACCTCCGGTATGTCTTCATCACCGTTGCAGCCTGCTTGGAGCTTGTCCCCTCAGCACAACGCCCCGGACACAAAAGCTTCTCAGAAAGCGCAGGACATGCACAGTAATGGTCAGCGCCGAGGCAATCCCAGGTGGTGCTGCAACCCGCTTCGGTTCTGTAGGATCAGTCCGAGCATTGCACTGCCTAAACAATACTGAAAACGTACTGAACATTGCACTGACAACTTGGGCCCAGGCTGGAATGCAAGGTCCGTGATGGCCTCAGCATGGCGAACCATGATGCACCCCAGCAACCTCACACAGCCTTCCAGAATGCCTTCTACTTCCTGACCCGGACCATGCGCAACATGGACCGCTGTGGCTTGAGGAACTCCCGGGTTGGTCGCGGGGTTCCTGGGGCGTTGGAACGTAACCCCAGGTCATGAATAGAAAAAGACGAGGAAGAGAAACAACATTGATGCCTCGCCTTCTGTATCCTTCTGTCACCAGCCAGCCCCTGCATCCAGCCCATGGCACACTCCAAGGTCCAGGCTTCTCCAGGGATTTCAGAAGTGGGGTCCTTGCGATCCTGCAGGCTTCGTAAGGCGAGAAGCACAAAGATCCGTCAGGTTCCACTGCCGGCTTCGGAGGACCCGGCTCCTTGGCTCCTGAGTGGCCTCCAATGTTACAATATTCTCGCGAATAGCGGAACGGAAGTGCAAGAGCCTCAGAAGCCGTGCAAGACATGCTTTTGTGTGTACAGCACATCTTGACCGAAGAGACTACGAGAACTTCTGTGATCTTGGAGCCTGGCTCCTCTGCAGAAGGTTCCGGCGCTTTGTTCTGCAGCTTAACCTGTCGGATTTCTGGCTTGCTCAACAGTGGTGGGATTGCTGCTGATGTGTGCACCGCCCGTCATCGACTTACACATCAATCCCTTGTTTCTGACATGCATCTCTTCCCGGCAAAGCGTGCCTTGAGATTGCTGAGTGCTCGAAGCCACAGCTTCCGTTCCGATGAGCTCTGACACGCGAAATGGTGACCTCATAGAACATGGACACTATGGATCATTCTCCAAGGCATCTTCAGCTTGCCCGAAGTGTAACTGAGAGGCCGTCAACCTATGAGACAACACACTTGGAACCTCGCCCTCCACTACGAAGCAGCTGCAGTTGATGCCGACCACATCGCAGCACACCTGAGTGCATCTGCACGCGTGATGCGTCTGGCTTTGCTGTGCTGCTGTGCATCTCTCCTGAACCCCACCGAAGGCTGGGGCCGAGGTTTCGAAGATGGCTATTTCCATCATTGAGCCTCAGTTGCCCAAGAATGCAACAACTGCACTCGAGACCCTCCGGTAACCACCTAGAGATAAACCCCTAAACAAATTCATACCCTATCTACAAGGCCAAAGACGACGCGTACTTGTCACATGCATTGCCGGTGTGACGGCTAGTACTAGTATTGTTGCTAGCCTTTTGACTGCTCGTTTTGCTGTTGGCCCCAAGACCGCGGCCTTTGCAAAGCTCGTTTTCGTACATCACCAGGCCTGGCCGGAGCTGCATGTAACCCTTTCGAGGCAACCCAACTTGGACTATAGCAGTGGAGGCAGTGGGCGGACCACTGTTCAGATCAAAAGCAAGAAGTGCAGAGAAAGTAACCACAAAGAAGGCGTGAGCAAACAACATCTTGCCAGTTGTGCTCGCTCGTGGCCCAAGGGGAGCTTGGAGCTCACAGTACACCACGGAAACGGCTTCTGCATCATCCCTGCGCGCGCAAGGAGCCAGAAAGGGACATTGATCTGGCACTGGCATGTGCTGTTCTTCCCAAGCCCAGCATGTTGGAGGGAATTGCTGACGATGTGGGCAAAGGGTGCACTGCCTGGCAAAACCACTATATGTTGGTCGCGGCCTGTGGATGAGATAACCCGCAAGGAGCCGGCGCTGGGTCTGCGGACATCCCGGCACGGGATCACAGCTCAGCTCCGCCACCGGCCTGCTTCAGGAGCCAACACAGATGCGCATCGCACTTAGGGACATCTGCCCTGCATGTTGGCGACGCGAAGTTGCTGGGCGCTGAGGCTGCCGCAGCAGTGAGTCAATGATGAGAAGGATGGTGTGAGACAGGCCCAACACCCACTCGGAGCGCTCCTGCCAGGTAAGAGCAAGCAGCAAGCAGTGGAGCAGCACAGCGCCAACCTCAACTAGAGCACCGCAGTAAGGCATTGCCCACAAGGGCCATCTCCCACGACAAAAAGTCTCGATGGTCCCTCGTTTTGGAGGGTGCAAACTCTGTAGGTTGGCCGACCGCTGGATTTCGTATACGCTATCTTTTCGATTACCCTGCGGCAGCTGACGGCCTTGATGTTGTATGGTCTACGGCCGAGGGACTTCGAAAGCCCCTGCATCCAGAAAACCTTGCATCGATATTCTGACACTCCGGGGTCTTCGTGGCAAATGTGCCAAAGCAGTCTTGAAGATAGACAGGTGGTGAGGCGATACTCCATTGGAACACCGCGAGTCCTCTGACGACAGGACATCTACATGAAGACGGCTAGATGCATGGTAGAAGCTGTGCAATTCCATCGGTTTTGGCACGCTTCCAACATTTAACCCATCGGCAGAAGCGCAATGGCAATAGCCAGGATAGTGACCATGACCCAATAACCATACACGCCGTGATGCAAGCAGTGATAGCACACGCTTAGCAAACCTGCGGGATCAGCGCCACAAGCGTCTTTCAGACGATGAAGCCAATGCACTAGCACCAGCACAATTCTCACAAGCAAGACGTGCAGGCAGCACACACGGAACACGCAGGCAGCTGTCATTTGGGTAACTGTTCAGATCATGGTCCCATGTAGGAACCCTAAATAATTCTACCCTTTTGAGTACCATATAGTTCGGGAACCCCGAAAGGGACCCTAGTTTTGACAACCACACGTTAGAAAGTCTACAAGCAGGGAGAAAGAACAGGCTGAACACGGCAGAGTCCTCAATTAAAAGCAGTGTGAAATTAGCTAATCATGTCGATTAACGACCCTACAGTCTATAGGTTGTTCGCATATGGCAGACACGCCATACTGGCTCCACATTGCCCTGCATTTACATCGCCTGAGGTATGGCGCAATGTTTGAAACACGCATTGAAATGACGCTTGTGTACTGTGTAGCATTGGCTGCATGTTGCACCTTGATGTCAAGCTACGTTGTCCAGATGCTAGAGCAGGAACCAACAATGTACCGCGCACAACGGACCGGGTGCAAATCAAGGCAGGTTACATGCGGCGACATATGAACAAGCAGTGTGAAGTACAGTACTGGTAGTAGAAGGGCAGACGCTCAGATTGGGAAAAAAAGCAAGCACAGCGACAGTGATCTGCAGACAGAACATACCGTGCCAGTAGTCGTTAACTGCTCTTACTGCCAAGGCAGTGGGCAAGCTTCCTTATACCAACGTCAGGTCGTCCAACCACCAGCCTCATAAAAGGAAAGCCTCGTTGTGTGCGAGTTCAATTCACAACAACTTGTGGTCAACCCGGTCAAACGAACCTAAGAACTGAGACAGGGAGCTGTACCAAACACCTAAGCACAATAGTGGGACAGTCTAGGACTAGGAAGCCTGCCAGTGTCTTGTTGAACATACCTCTGCCATGAGCAGTGAATTTCTGCTTTCGGAGAGGATGCGTGGGTCATCGTTGGTCATCGCGCAGACAGGTGCGCTGGTTCAGTAAGAGCAAGACCCCCGGCCATCGCCGCCACCGGCAACAAGACAAAGATGCTAATTATGCAATTGCAACGACCATGGCAGCAATGTAAGAACGACTTCAACTGCTCTGGTAACAATACCGAAGAAGACAAAACTGTGCAGAATGGGTTGCGGTCGATTAGAACCGTCAGCGGTCCTCCTCTGCTTCTCGCTCTTCCGTGCTTCGCCTGAGAGGCTGCTTCTCTTGCTAAGAGAGCGATGTGTCTCAAATCAACGAGGGGTCTCAATGAAGGACTCAAGAACCATCAGATCGAGGTCAGATTCCCAGTCTGCAGTTCTCGGCCCTTCGCACGGCGAAGTAGCAGCAGGGGTCTGGCTCTTGCAACGACACCTGCGCAGACTCTGCCGGAAGGTTGTCGAATTCCTGATGTATGTGGCTGTGGCTGTGAGGGTCCGCTATCTCTCTGTGCCGTCTGACCTGCTCTTTCCGGATGGGTCAAAGGCCAAAGCTTGACTGACCAGGCCTTGAAGCTCTTCAGTCTGGAACATTCGCCAGACCTGAGCTGTCTTTCACAGCGATGAGGAGATCCGAGAAGGACGTATCCAACTTCCGGAGCCCCGAGTCTGCCCTTGCTGCCCCTCGCTTTGCCAAGGACGGGACTGAAACCGGCAATTCCGGATCAGTGAAAACGGCGACAATGAGACCGATGCCTGTCCCAAGTCCCGCTCGGATTCTCTGGGGTTGTTAAGCTGTGCAAGAGTGCCCGCCTCTCTCCCATCAAGCGTGGAGAAAGCAAATCCGTTGACATAGAGGCTGAACATCACCGACTCAAACCGATCCTGCCCATTGAAAGATACATAACTGCCATAAGCAAGACATGAAGATATGAGCACAAAGAACAGGGAGAAGGATGGAGGAAACTGATGCAACGACAGCGCTATGCCTCTCACTACGTGGAGCTGCCGTGCCTGCGACAGCTGCGGACTTTTTCCGAAAAGCTTGCTCTGCCCGCTTTGAGCACAGCGGTTTTCGCTGCGAAACTTGGGCTCAGCAGGCAAGATGCGAAGGGAGAAGCAGTGGCAACAACCTGCACCATAGCGTCCTGACTGCAACCGCAAGGGTGTCTAAACTTGAAAGCTTACCCGCTCAGAAGTGGTGGTGCGGATGGACCGTGTGTTTGTGCTGCCTCGCCTGCGCAGCCGAATAACAAAACGCCCAGCGCTAACAAAAACAGACAAGATGCGACGAAGCAAAGCCCTTCATCATCAGGTTCTAGATTCAGCCACTCATGGGTTGAGTTGAGTTTACATGGTAAAGTCGAACCGTTCACTGCTGCTGCCATTGCTCTTTGCTTCTTGTGGCTGATTTGCGTGCGCAGCACCAACAGTCATGCTGTGACTCTTAATCTGGCGCCAATTTACCAACCACGAACAGAACGGAACGGCACAAGTGCACCTGATGATGAAAGAGGGACATCACTGGCTCCGCCTGGCTGGCGAGTTCTGGACTCGAGCTCGGAGTGCAATTTCGCTTGGCTGTGTCACGCAGACAGTCTTGCCTACACTGCATGTGCGTGTTTCAAGTTCTACAAGCAAATACATATGCCGTGGATGTATATACGTACATTATACATATGCACACCAACATAATATACGCATGAATGTATGCATGTTGGCATGCAAACATGGCCAGTGAGCGCATGCGATAGAGAGAGAGAGAGACACAAATAGATACATAACATAGACAGATAGGTAGATAGGTAGGTAAATAGGTAGATGGATAAATGGAAGATAGACGGATAGATGCATAGATAGATAGATAGATAGATAGATAGATAGATAGCTAGGTAGATAAGCAGGTAGATAGATAGCTAGGTAGCTAGGTAGATAGATAGGTAGATAGGTAGGTAGATAGATAGGTAGATAGGTAGGTAGATCGATAGTTAGATACATAAATTCAGACGCATTACAACACATCATATCATGTTACACTGTGGCTTGCGACTAATAAAGTCAACGGCATTGAGCGAAACGAGCTGCGCGTGGCCAACGCGTGTTTCTAAAGCATTGCAATCGTGAGTGTGTAGTTGAAGCTTCAAGCCCGATAGGAGGCTTCAGGTTTAGTGCTTGAGGTCTAAACTCGCAAACTTAAGCCCTGCTTCAGGTCTGTAGGGACTACACTTACATGCTAGACAGGTGAGGCTTAGGGTTCAGTGTTGTAGAGTTTAAGTAAAGCAGCAAGCCCTCGACCCTAATACAAAGCTCAAGCGGCAGCAGCAAAGCACTAGAATCCGGTTGTGGGCAAGGACTTCTTTATCAACCGCTATGGAAAGGGTGCCAGGCCATCAACTTTCCTATGGGGCAGCCGCGGGTAGCTCCCGAATCCCTGCTGGACGGAGCTCTGCATCCCAAAGGGGCGGAGGCCCGACACCCAAGAACAGCGAGACCAGAAACAGCAGCTATTACGATTAGTACCAATACCAATACGAGTACTATACTAGTACAAATACTAATGCCAATACTAGTACTAATACCAATACTGCGTGAAATTACTAATACCTCGACTTTGCCCATAATGGCAGCAACGTCGCGATTCTCCCTGCTACTAACGTCAGTACAGACCAATACAAGTATTAGTACCACCACCCAGATGTCTTCTAAATCTGCTGGGGATGGTTCTGCTTCTGTAGCATCTCAAATGGCTGCTGAGCGTCTACGTGGTCATCAATCGAAAGTCCACGTCACATTCCCCTTGTTGTAGCTTTATGTTGCCGCTACATCAGTTTGCTAGAATACACCCATGCATGTATATATATATGGGTTTGTCAGAATAGCAGGAGCCCTACCAGGAGTGTTGGGATTGGGGTATGTTTCGCGGGTATGTTTCAGGGTATGTTTCGGGGTGTGTTTCGGGGTATGTTTCGGTGTATGTTTCGCGCGGCCTTGGGCATACCCTCGTAGATGTTGGTTGCGCTAATCATGGGCCTGGTTGGAGGGTCTGGTTCTAGGTTTGGTTTTTTTTGCAAGCGCAGGGTCCAGCGAAGGCCGTCAGCACCGACATGTCAGAGGCGTCTGGTTAGGGTTTTGCGACTAACTTTATGTACAACCCCAAAGGGCTCTTTGTTTGGCAGCTGTGGATACTTTGCGTGCGGTAAAGAGGATTGAGGGCCGCCAAGTCCCCTTTAGGACTGGCCCGAAGCCCACTAGGCCCCGGAAATCTGCTCGCTGGAGGCTCCGGAACCGCCTGGCCGGCTTAGGGTAAGGGACCAGTACTGGTCCCGAGGAGAACGTGTTCCGGTGCCGGGCCCATCGTGGGTGCTACCGACCTTTGAGCGGGAGGCGGGCGAACGACCTGGGTCGGCTTGCGCCATCGAGGTCGAGGGCCTTGGGCGCCGCCCTCCAACCAAGGAGTGCTAGGAATGCTCTTGACGAATCTGCGAGGCGCTCGGCCACTTGTGCTTTCATTTTGTCTCCCTTCTCGATTGGCTGGGCTGCAAGTGCGGCGAACTTGGGAAGCTCTTCCTTCCGCAAAGACTGCTTTATGACCGTTAACAAGCCATCGTCTCCGACAGCGTCCCTCACATCATTGAGCTGTGTGCGGAGTTTGCGCGTCCAGTACTTTAGCTTGCTTTCCGACACCGCTTTCGTTGAAGCCGTGCCCGCTTTCGTTGAAGCCATGCCGCAGTGACTGCTTCGACTGCTACTAACTGAAGCTCTGAAGATCTTGGGGTTTGGGGTCCGGGAGTTGACTTCCCACATGCTTAGTACAGCTTCAAAAAGGA